GTTAGATACGATAAATATGATTTAAATAATATTTGTAACAAAAAATGTATATTTTTCATTCGAAAATAAAATAAAATAACTCCAAACGCTCGTGAAGTCATAAACAATAGCAGACAGCGCTCATAGCCTTTGCTATGCATTATTTAAACGCTCGGAGCAGGACTTAGTAATTTGTTTTAATGATGACAACCTTTTGTTTGGGTCCAGTTTTCCAGGACAAGCTCGTAATCAATTTTACAAAGGCCAGACTTGTAATTTGATGAGAATCCTAAATAAAACAGCTTCGACGCTTTTTCCCTCGAGAGGCAAACAGAGAACAACACACATCACTCAATTTTCAGCAAAATTGCTTTAAAAAATGCTTTACTTTTAAGAGAAATTCAACTTATTTTTATTATCAATTAACAAAATTCCCAACTTCTTTCTGTTTGATGATTCTTTCATAACTTAATTAAAAGATTCTTTTGTTTGGAATAAATTATAAAAGAATCGCTGATAAGAGGGGCTTCTGAAAATCTCCAAATCTAAAAATTTTACTGATAAGAGAGATTCGAGCTGATGTAATTTAGAAGATATATTTTTATAATTAAATTTATTAAACCTTGTAAAAGCAGTATAAAGAATATTTTAAGTTATTAATATTTTGGGTTTCTCGGGTGAGTCCCTAGACGCCTATTGTAGGTGTCCGACCTTAATTATTAAATTTAGTATGATTTGACAGTAAACATATTTTTATCAGAGTCAAAATAGCCTATAATATTCAGGGGTAAAGGAATATTTAGAATCAGATCAGTAGTTTCAGAGATTATCCCTAACATGCAAACTTACAAATTTTACGTTTTTTTTAAATGTTATAGTAGATTTAAAAAAATCACATCAACCTACCAACCAGTATTAAGAACATAGCTATAGTTTATTTCAACGGTCGAATAAATTTAAACGTATTGATTGGTTGAGCTCTCCATTACTCCTACATACTCCCATAAAGCGGTCATGTTTCATGGTTGGCGACTATATATGTATATATACAGATATATACGCAGGTGTTGTACTGACAATGATATATCTGAGCAAAAATTATACGGATATAATTTTAATAATTGGACTTCAATTGTATGTATGACGGACGGATTGAATAAAATTCAGTACACACATAAACTTTATATAGACTATGACGACACGTTTCGCTCAGTGTGTAGTGACTCAACTTATTGTGCCAGCGGTCGCGAGTTTGAGTCCCGCTGGGGGTATTCATTTGTGTGATGAGCACGACTGTTTGTACTCAGTCATGGGTGTTTATATTTATAATATGTATGTGTTTAAAGTTATATAGGTATGTGTAGTGTATCAACTATCTGGTATCCATAACACAAGCCTCGTAGCTTACCATGGTACTAGATGGTGCAGTGTGTTAATGTCCCAACATATTTATTTATTTATTTATGACCTGGAGTAATACCTAGGTACCTAAGGACGTAACTGAACATAGCGAGGGTAAGTTGCTTATAGGTAATCATATGAAAAGACAGCTTTGTATTTAGCATTGCATACATCCCAAATTTTTGAAGCACAATTTTAGCACCATAATATGGCGTGTTGATAAAGTAAAAACAAAGGATGTTAATATAACAATTATTTTCATAAAGCCTCTTATGGTAATTGAACTCGTATCCACTGAAATAAATGTTTTTCCCCATCACATAAGTAAGATTATATAGTAATACTAGCGTTGCCCGCAGCTCGCCTCGGTAATTTATATTTCATAGATATTTGCCTTACTCCTTAATGTCTGAGAGTGTTGTTAGATTATAACTTCATCAATAAATAAGTTATATAATGCAAAAAGAATTTATCAAATTGAACTAAAAGTTTCAGAGATCAAAGCATTTTGACAAACAAATAAATAAACAAACAGTTCAATTCAATTGTTATATAAATCCCGACCTGAGACTTGAACCTAGGACCTCCGGATGAGCAGCCGTACACCGAGGAAATTTATAATATACGCTACAATCAAACCATAATATATTACATTTATTGGAAGTAATGCGAGAAAACGTGCATATCAATGACTAATCGACCTCCGTGTATTTTAGTACGAATTTTACACGTTGTTATGGAAACAACGTATCCCTTGCTTTAAACAAATAAAAACTCGAGGCTTTACGCGACTTTGCCCGCAATTTGACGACACGTTTGGCTCAGTTTGTACCCTACTTGCTGCGCCAGCGGTCGCGGGTTCGAGTCTCGCTTGGGGTATTCATTTGTGTGATGAGCACGAATGTTTGTACTCCAGTCATGGGTGTTTATATTTATACTATGTATGTATTTAAAGTTATATATGTATAATGTATCAACTATCTGGTATCCATAACACAAGCCTCGTAGCTTACCATGGAACTAGATGGTGTTGTGTGTTAACGTCCTGACATATTTATTTAAAAAAAAACAAATTGTTAACGTTATTTTTATTTAAAAGTAGAAGGAATTCTTTAAAATTTTCTTTTATTTGAATATAATATAAGAGAGAGAGAGAGAGAGAATAAGCATTTGTATTTGTTTTTTATACAGAATGTTTCATAAAAATGCCAGGAGTAAACTAGTAACGGTATGCCTTTATACTGAAGCGCCTCCTGATGATTTTTTTACCAAAATAATTACACTTCTTTTGATTTTTGGAAGATTATCTTCAACATCTGAAGATGATCGATGCCTCTCAGAGTTATATCTTATATTCCAGATTGATAATTACTTTATCAGTACTTGGAACTAAGTAAAACATTTGGCCATCAACAAATCTAGTACAACACTCACATAATAAATTAATAGCAAAAGCATTATAAAAGGTCAAAGTTGCAAGTTAAATAAAACCTCGAAAAAATTGATTAAGCTAAAGTAGGTTACATAGAAACTACAATTAACCAGTTTAAAACACAATTACGTGTTAATTAAATTACACTACGAATTTATTGTAAATGAAATAAATATAGGAGATGTGTCATACACTTAAAAAAATGATTATTTACTTGTTGTTTTTAAACAGTTTGGTATTGAGTAAAAATTAGTTAAACAATAATCTATACATATAATAAAATTGTAACTAAGCCAAATCTGTACATTAATTTTTTTTTGGAAAATCTTATTGAAATAGACATTATTATCGATACAGAGGCCGAATCTATAGTTTTTAGAATTTTTGTCTGTCTGTCTGTCTGTCTGCTACCGCATCACGGAAAAACCACTGGAGGGATTTTGATGAAATTTGGTATGATGATAGCTGGTTGTCCGGGTCAACATATAGGATACTTTTTACCGGGGGAAAATATCTCATTTCTGAGAAAAAAAACTAATATTAGTATCATACATATATCATAGTTTACATATGTAAAGCCTAAGAATTTGGTTTTTTGTCATCTGAACGCGGGCGGAGCTGCGGGCAAAGCTAGTTAAACAATAAAATTTATAAAATTAAATATTTTATTAATATTAAATAAATTATCTTCAATACAAAATAAACCCATAAATAATACTTAAGGCGTTTCAAAATTTAGACAAACTTTTGTAATTTATAATTTTCGTTTGTCTTCAAGAAAACAAGTCGTGATATTAATTTGGTACGAAATATTCAATTTCTAAACTAATCAATCAATAAAATATGCTAAGTTATATTGAAATATGCGAAAGTAAGCGTCTTGTGGCTGTTTTTAACCGACTTCAAAAAAGGTTGATTCATATTTTTTATGTATACAACTGCCTTTTGTAAAATGGTATCACCAATTCAGCTGGTTTAAATTGTATTATATTAAGATGATTAGAATAATATGTTTTTTATAACATAATATGTAGAAAGTCTGCTTTATCTTTTAGACAATACATATAATATTCTAAGAATAGAAGTTACAAAATTCTGCTTCTAAAGACTGACTTTACTAAAAGTGTTCTCTATCTTTCTTGCACACGGCTATCTTCTATTTTTATCCTTGTCATTTATTGATATCTTTTTTAATAATTATTCTTAAGCATGATTCAGTCTGTGTGTCTGTATGTATATATATTTAGTAAAACTTTAAAACTAGAATTTTAGTAAAATTTTGTTTTAAATGGATCTAGTAATAAATACGACATATGTTATTTTTTAATCTATACAGATAAATAAAATTGAAATGTCTGTTTGTGTTGTCAAAATAACAGCTTTTTATTAAATGCGTACGAAATTATATACGGTACTTATAATAAAAACACAACTTTTAAAATTTTGTCTATCTGTTTGTTTGTTCCGGCTAATCTCTGAAACGTTTGGATTGATTTTGATGGAACTTTCACTGATAGATAGCTAATGTTATAAGAAGTAACTTTACTAAAATTTATCTAAGAAAAAGTACTTTTCTGCTTAAAAAAATTGAAACGTATCTGGGGACGCACCCGAGCGAAGTGAGGGTAAGTCGATAGTTTATAATAATGTATGTAAATGTAAGATTAATTTATTTTATTCCGATTTCTATAGCTCATGGGAAAAATCGTGACGTTCAGAACACAATGTTCCAACACAATGTAAGAGAAGTTCTGTCATACACATAGTACCATACTATATTCACGTTGTTTTGCTATCATTTCAACTAATTTAATGAATCATACATACTCTTTATAAAAAAAAATTTTCTTACATCTATGGAACGCTGTAAAAAATATATTTATCCAATTTTATTATTATGTCAACGTCCTTAAAACCCTACGGTAATAATAATTATATTACAACGCTTCATTCTTCAGATATAATAACAGAGTAGTACCCCTAACCTACAAGGCAGCGTTCGCTATTTTCAGAGATATTCATTTTGAAGGTATTTGTAAAATGAAACTGTGCGGTGACTTATTTTAACATTTGACAGTTTCATTTCCCACCTTTACGTCTTCCTGTCTGCGAATATTCATATTTTAGTTCATTCCTTTTTCTTGCGAGGCAGCGTTAAGACGGCTTATAAGTGTCTATAGTCGTCATAATGCCGAAACGTACGGCTGAAGAAAAGACTGAGAAATACCAGAGAAAAATTAGGAAGTTAAATAAACGTATTAGAAGAATAGTGACGTCGTCAGAATCTTCGGACGAAAGTAAAGGTAAGAAATAATTTTAAAAATTAACAAAGTGATTGTCACTTTGAGCCTGGGGGTAGGTTTATCCTACACGAAGGCTATATCTTTTAGCACATTAAGTCATACCTGGGGGTTGGCATTGTCTAACACGAAGGTAGAAATGACTAATTTGATTATTAATCCTTGGTAAAAAGTTGAAGCAATATTGCTATTGTTTTTTTTAACGTTTTATATTATTTTTTTATACCTTATGGTAATATCACATGATATTAAAAGTACGTATTAACACGTATTATGCCTGGGGATTGGCTAAGTCCAATACAAAGGCTCACGATATCTGTGCTAAAAATAAGAATTGACATATTTGTTTATTCTTAACAGATGAACATCCTCCGGTAGTGGAGTCAGTGGTATCGGTTCCGGAAGATTTACCGGAAATAGAGAATGAGGAAGCGATGGAGCTACCTACCAACGACATACAAGTATCAAATTTTCCTGAATTAGAACCAGAATTGCTTCAAGCACTAGGAGAGGACAATATAGAAGAACCCGAATATGGCGAAAGTATTCATGATGATTTGGCAAAGCGTTGGTTGCCTATAATTAAAAAAGGTTTGTCTAAAGATATTAAAGAAAAATTGAACAAGGAATACCTTGTCCCAGAAAATTTTAAGCTTCTCAGGCCACCAACTTTAAATACTGAGATAATTACAGCTTTAGCAGAGACTGTGAAATCCCGGGATAAGAAATTAAAAACCAATCAACAGCAGCTAGCTATGGGCATAACAGCTGCAAATAAAGCTTTACACTTGTTGCTGTCAAACGGTGATAAAGCAGAGGCAGTAAAACACCTCAGTAACTGCTGTCGAATTTTATTAGACCTTCATGCACTTGAAACAAAATGGCGTAGAATACTGGTTACGATGTCACTAGACAAATCGTTTCAACAAATTGTTCAAGACTCGGAAAGAGATGATACATTATTTGGAAATAATCTATCTGAGAAAATCAGAAATTCAAAATGTTCTGAAAAACTAGGTTCACAGTTTAAGAAAACTCAACCACCTAAATCTTTTCCTACTCAAACACACACCCGACCAGTAACAACCGGTCAGGGAAACTGCTTCAGACCTCTCGACGAGCCGGGGAGGGGGACGAGGTGGCCAGAAGAGAACAGCTCCACCTCCACAGCGGCAACCACCATCGTCAACGGCGAGGTCTTCGTACCAGAGCACGAGCAGGAGTCGTGCCCCAACGCGGCGATAATCCAGGTACATGCAGGCCGAGTCAAAACTTTTTATAATTGTTGGTGTAATATTACAAAAAATCAATTAATCTTGAATTGGATTAGACATGGTTACAAAATACCTTTCGATAAAAAAGTAACACAATTATATGTTCCTAAGCTTTCAGTGCTAAATGATAAAGAATTTTCTTTTATGAATAATTCTATATTGAAATTAATAAATTTAGGAGCAATTTCACAATGCTCATTTAAAACTGGTCAATTTATATCTAAAACTTTTTTAGCTCCAAAACCTAATGGAGATAAAAGATTTATCCTTAACCTTAAACCTCTTAATAAATTTATTTCAAAAAGTCATTTTAAAATGGAAGACCATAGAACGGCGTTAAAATTAATTTTAAAAAACAATTATTTGGCCACGATTGATCTTAAAGAAGCATACCTGTTAATACCTATACATAGCTCACAAAAGAAATATTTACGTTTTCAATTTCGACATGATAATAAAAATATAGTAACATATGAGTTCAACGCCATGCCGTATGGACTGTGCTCAGCCCCTCTTGTTTTCACTAAAATAATGAAAACAGTTATTACTCGACTAAGGTCCCAAGGTTTTAAATCGGTGTTATATTTGGATGATATTTTGTGTGTAGGCGAAAGCTATTTAAATTGTCAAAATAATGTCAATGAAACAATAAAATTGTTATCTTGCCTAGGTTTTATCATTAATTATGATAAAAGTTCACTAAGACCTAAGCAAGTTTGTAAATTCTTAGGTTTCATATATAATACTATTAATATGTCATTATCATTACCTACAGACAAACGCGATAATATTTATAAGTTAGTTAATAGATTTTATAAACTACCTACTTGTACTATACGTGATTTTGCTAAACTAATAGGAGTTTTAATAGCTGCTTGTCCAGCCGTAAAATACGGATGGATGTACACAAAACTTTTAGAAAGACAAAAATATCTTTTTCTTTACAAATATAAAAATTACGATTCAAGAGTTAAATTACCTAAAATAATTCAAAAAGATTTAAAATGGTGGATTGATAATATTTATATTACATACAACAATATTCAGAGTAATCAAAATTATATTTTAGAAATTTTTACCGATGCGTCAAGATCCGGTTGGGGCGCATATTGTAATAATATGCGTGCAAATGGCGGATGGACAAATAAAGAAAAAGAAAAACATATTAATTACCTTGAATTATTAGCAGCATTTTTAGCATTAAAATGTTTTGCAAAATCACATAATAATTGTAGTATTCTTTTACGTATTGACAATACCACGGCTCTTAGCTATATCAATCGTATGGGGAGTATACAACATCCGCATTTGAATGATTTAGCAAGAAATATTTGGCAGTGGTGCGAGGCGCGTAATATATGGTTACATGCGTCTTACATTAATACTCGCGATAATAAAGAAGCTGATTTTGAATCTAGAAAAGCAAATCCCGATACAGAATGGGAATTATCAGATAAAGCCTTTCAGAAAATTATTAAAAATTTAGGGAAGCCGGAAATTGATTTATTCGCCTCTCGCACCAACGCCAAATGTAACATTTTCATGTCATGGAAACAGGATCCAGACGCCATAGCGGTAGATGCATTCACAGTAAACTGGAAAAAATATTTCTTTTACGCTTTCCCACCGTTTTCAATGATAATGAAATGTTTACAAAAAATTTTAGATGATAAGGCAACTGGTATATTTGTTTTTCCTTACTGGCCATCACAACCATGGTTCCCTCTATTACAAAGCATGATAGTGTCTGAAGTTCTATATTTTAAAAAGGATGATAAACTTTTGATGTCTTGTTATAGCGGGATTCACCCATTACACCAGCAGCTTACCCTGGCTGCAGCGAGGCTCTCAGGCTAACGTTCCTTCGGCAAGGTATTCCTCCAGAATCCTTTGATTTAATGTTATCCTCATTAGCTGACAATACAAAAAAGCAATATAACGTTTGTTATAAACTCTGGTGGGAATTTTGTTATTGTATTAATATATGTCCTTTAGACAATTCCGTTAGTAAAGTTTTATCCTTTTTAACGTGTCAATTTAATAAAGGTGCCTCGTATGGTACAATTAATAGTCACCGATCCGCGCTGTCATTATTATTAGGTAGCAGTATCAGAACAAATGAACACATAAAACGATTTTTAAAAGGAGTATTTAGACAAAAACCTATTAAACCTAAATATTCTGATACATGGGACTCGCAAATAGTATTGCAATGGTTATCAAAGTTAGGCGCGAACACAGAATTATCAATGGAATTACTTAACAAAAAACTTGTTACTCTACTTGCTCTTTGCACGGCACAAAGAGTACAAACATTGTCATTAATAAAATTAAATAACATTAATTTTTATGCAGATGGAATTAAAATAATTATCACCGATCATATTAAAACTTCTGCAATAAATAGACAACAACCACTTCTTTGGTTACCGTATTTTAAAAGCAATCTATCTATTTGCCCAGCTAGTGCTATTAAAGATTATATTTCCCGTACAAAAAGCTTAAGAAAAACTATTAATGCTGATAATTTAATTTTAACTAGTAAAAAACCATATAAACCTGCTTCATCCCAGAGCATTAGTCGTTGGATAAAACAGGCGCTTTCTGAAAGTGGCATTGATATTTCTGTGTTCGGGGCCCATAGTACGCGACATGCGTCCACCTCATCAGCTAAAGCTGCAGGTGTGGGTATAGAGGTGATTAGAAAAACAGCTGGCTGGACCTCTAATTCTATTGTTTTTGCAAAGTTTTATCAATTACCTATAATTAATAATAATTCAAATTTTGCACAATCTGTATGCTTAAAAGATTAGAAATTATGTTTTTTTTTTTGTTTCTTTATATATTATGAATATGTACAACATAGAAATAGGATTAAACGATTGTAACCCTAAGAGGACGAAATATTACAATGTATATTTGGAACTTAATTTTGAAATAAATGATTTATTCTTGCAAAACTTTTTTATCTCTAAATAACTACTCTGTTATTATATCTGAAGAATGAAGCGTTGTAATATAATATATGATCAAACGAACTTACCTTAAGTGAAGTTCGATCATTATTATATGAAACGCTTCATTCGAAGATATAATCACCCTCCCTCCCACATACCTACTTTATCTATTAAATAAAAGTTTTGCATAATCTCTGAAATAAATGAACTAAAATATGAATATTCGCAGACAGGAAGACGTAAAGGTGGGAAATGAAACTGTCAAATGTTAAAATAAGTCACCGCACAGTTTCATTTTACAAATACCTTCAAAATGAATATCTCTGAAAATAGCGAACGCTGCCTTGTAGGTTAGGGGTACTACTCTGTTATTATATCTTCGAATGAAGCGTTTCATATAATAATGATCGAACTTCACTTAAGGTAAGTTCGTTTGATCATATAATATACTCGACATTTGATATATTTTGCCTAAATCAGTTTTAACTTAAATAGATACCTTATAAAGCTGGGGGCTTAAACATGATAATATCACTCTACAACGATGACGACACGTTTGGCTCAGTTTGTAGTGACCCTACTTGCTGTTGCCAGCGGTCGCGGGTTCGAGTCCCGCTAGGGACATTCATTTGTTTGATGACGAATATTTGTACTCCAGTCATGGGTGTTTATATTTATAATATGTATGTATTTAAAGTTATATATGTGTAGTGTATCAACTATCTGGTATCCATAACACAGGCCTCGTAGCTTACCATGGAACTAGATGGTGCTGTGTGTAATGTCCCAACATATTTATTTTATTTTTTATTTAACCGTCGAAGATTTATTTTTATTTCAAAAAAATCATCGTAGTCTCAATTTTTACTACGATTAATCTATCTATATTATTATATAAAAATGAATTCCTATTTACCTTGGTCACGCCATGCTCGTAACTTGATAGCGACTTTACCGATTTCATTTATCTTTTTTTTTAATTTTGTAATATTTTGTAGAAGGTTCTTACGGAAAGAAAAATTAAAAAAAATATAATTGGAAAATTTATCTCATTCCCACAGGAAAACACGTAATACAAATCACAACAACCCATCATACCTATGTATATAAAAATATATGTATAAACAAACGTCCATCTATTCCATACTAACCGTTAAAACGAACCCGAGCGAAGCGAGGGTGAATCGCTAGTACATGTAATAAAATTCTAAGTCCAATTTCAATATTTTCACAATTCAATACATTCTATATTTTTTGGAAAATCTTATTGAAATAGTCATTATATCGATACAGAAGCCAAATTTTTAGAATTTTTGTATGTCTGTCTCTCTGTCTGGGAACGCATAACAAGAAAGGCACTGGACGGATTTTAATGTTTGGTATAGTGATAGCTGGTTGTCTGAATCAACATATAAGATACTTGTTACTGCGGGAAAATATCTCATCTCTGAGAAATCTAGGTATAAACTGTTAAAGCTTACCCAAAGAGAACCCGTGCGAGGGTGAGTCACTAGTTATTATCATAAAATCGTAATACATATTTCTTACATGTTTTTGTAGATTTCTATTTTTCAACTATTGTATAATAACATTTTCTCTAAACCTCCAGACGTTTTCACATTAAATAGAACAAAAAACGGTTTTTCGCTACCTTCGTTCGAGCTTCTAACGTGATTGAAGAGGTTACGCTTAGATAAGTTAATGACAGCGCCCGCATCTTGAAAAGATAAAAGCCTCTGGACCAACTAGATACATATGAATGGGATTGGATAGAAGGCCTTAATTTCCCACTCTTGAATAAAAGTTATCTTTACACTATACTATGTATGTATGTATGTACATCTTCTATTCATATAATAAAATTCTAACCGAGTCGAATCTGTACATTAAATATTTTTTTGGAAAATCTTATTGATATAGTCATTAATATCTATACAGAGGCCAAATCTATCGTTTATAGAATTTTGGTCGTCTGTCTTGGAACTAACTAAAAAATCACTGGACAGATTTTGATGAAATTTACTATCATAATAGCTGATTATCCGTTTTACTGCGGGAATATATCTCACCTGGGAGAAATCTATACTAAAAAATAAAACGTAACTGTATATAAAACAACTATTATTTAACTTATACTTTGAAAAAAAACCGTTTAAACCTAAACCATTTCTTGACGGAAAATAAAGCTTTTTGATGGAAAATAAGCTTTTCTTAAAAAACCATGAAAGTGTAGTACTAAAAGATTTTTATTGTTGGCTTTATACTACCTACGTACAAACGTATCACGTTATAGTGAAACTTCTCTGAACATTGTTCTTCCTGCGCTCGTTTGCCCCCATTCCATTGTTTATGTCGCACTTTGTTCCGATGTTAGATATTTTATACCCGACAAGAGCTTCGCCTATATAACCAGTATTTAACGCATTCACATTTTAAGTAAACCGATTTGTTAACTTTACAAGATCCCAATTATGCTTAATATTATAATAAAATAATGGTTAAATGGCTAAACAATTTTTGATAAAATTTGGCAACAACATAAAGTGCATCCTGAGAACAGATATATACTATATATATGACCCCAGCATCACTTACTATATGAGCGAAGCCGCGTGCAAAAACTATAATTTTGTAAAAACTTGAGAGTATTAATTTAATCACTTTTTAACTAAAAAGTTGCAAAGATATAAAAATGACTTTAATATTAAATATTTATTATTTACTAGCATTGCCCGCGGCTCCGCCCGCGTTCACATGACCAAAAACGAAATTCTTAGGTTCTACATATTAGTATACTCTTACAATGCATTTTTTGTATTATTTTTCAGAAATGCGATATTTTCCCGCGGTAAAAAGTATCCTATATGTTGACCCGGATAACCAGCTATCATCATACCAAATTTCATCAAAATCTATCCAGTGGTTTTTCCGTGATGCGGTAACAGACAGACAGACAATAATTCTAAAAACTATAGATTCGGCCTCTGTATCGTTAATAATGTTTATTTCAATAAGATTTTCCAAAAAATATTGAATGTACAGATTCGGCTTAGTTACAATTTTATTATATGTATAGATTTATACAAAGCACTTTAAAATGTTTAATTAAACGTTTTTTTAATTAACCGACTATTTTAATTAATTATTAAAAAAAGAAGATTTCTCCTCGTGATAGATAGATCAAAAGCTTATACTTCTTTTTACATTTTATTCATTTCCCAAACAAAAATATAATTGGTTTATTTCCAAATTAAAATGAATACATGTTAAAATACATAATCCGTTTAAATACGCATCATAAAGCTGTACATTAATTAAATTTAGTTTTTTTTTTGAGTATTTATTTTTGAGAGTACACAAATTATATGTAATTATACAATAATATTACATCACGTATACGATTTCCCAAATAATAGTAAAATATATTCGTAACAACATCGCAAAAACAACTTAACAGATTTTAATTAAACTTTATGTTACTGATAATTAAAACAGATCACGACTAAAACTTAGCCAATTATTTTATTTTATAACCAATCATATCGAATAAAAAGCCTAAAATATGGGTTCAGATCGTCCCTTCATGCGCTTATATAATAAAGCTGCTAGTAGTTATATTCAGATTTTTTTAATTCCATCAGTGGACACGGGCTTCCCTTCATTAATAGAGAGGTCAAGCCATGGTCCACCACGCTGGTCAAGTGCGAGTTGGCGGTCTTCACAAGTATTTCGAAAACTTGCTAGGTTCTCTCAGACATACTGCAGAAACTTTTCTGCATGATGTTTTCCTTCACTGCAAGACAAGTGGGAAATGGTCATATTGGAAATGTTTCGTATATAAAATTTCCGAGGTGCGAGACCCAGGATTTGACTCCACTTCACTCGGTTTTCCAAGCGAGCGTGTTATCACTGGCTACCACTAACTTGCTCATAATTACTTGGTGTCAACTGAATTAAAATACACACGCAAGCTTTTAAATATCAGCTAGCTATTATAAAATAAGATTAGTTATAAATATATATAAAATAAGGTAAAACTTAAAATGGTATTTATTTGGAACCTATACATATAGAAATCGAACCAAATTCTATCAACTTTCTGTGTTCTATACAATTTCCTTAGGTACAATATATATCTAAGTTTGAATAGATACAATATTAATCACTAAGCCATTATCGTGCCCTGCAGTAGTCAGTACTCGTGATATTCGTTAATTACCCTGTATACAGTCCAAGCCACAGTTAATTGTGACAGATCCCTCGTAACTTCTATTACAACGCACTCAATGCTAAGCACAAATTATTCTGCATTCAGCAAAATACACATTACAACAAGTAGCAAATTTATATAGATGAGTAGATAAATAACATATATGTACCTACAAAGTTTTTTTCGGAAAGCTTATATAGCTTTTCTAAAGCTATCTTACCAGCTTAAATTTTTTAAATAAGACTTATGTATACTTTTGTAGAGGAATTCAAAAAATTATCACAATAATAAGTTTAATTTTCGAGAGCAGCCAAAAAATGATTTCTTTAATGAATTTAATACTCGTTGTAGGTCTCGTTCTAAAGTAATAATAATAATAATAAATACTCTTTATTGTAAACAATCCACAAGATCCACAAGAGAAAAAAAAAGAAAAAAAAATGTACAAAAAAATATAAAAGCAGCTATATACAAAAGGCGGCCTTATCGCTAAAACAGCATCTCTTCCAGGCAAAAGTCTAGCAGTAATTTGTTCTCACGCCTCCTTATATCATTCCTTCATAGTTTGAAATTCTTGTTGGAATATTTCTTTTCTTTATCACTTAAGTGGACGTGATTTTCAGGAAATTGGTCCTGATAAGGG